AGTTCATACCCTATTACCATAGAAAGAAAGAGAGAAAGAAATCTTACAAGAGTTGCTGAGAGGCAGATTAGCCTATAGGACCGTAAAGACCAGTGTTGCTATTTATCCAGATGTGGTGTAAGCAGATGTGATGTACATTGGTAAAAGTCCTGGACTTGCAATGTAGAAGCAGGACTCCAGACTCTAGCTCACCCACAAGCTAACTAGGGGACTGTGGGGAAATTACTTAACCTATTAGGATGCATATTTCCTTTTCTAAAAAGTGGGTATGTAAAAATTATATACAGAAGGTTTGCCCCACTATAAATATTACTGCCCTTAGGTCTATGTCTTTCCATTCTGAAAGCTATAACTACTGAGCTATATCTGTGAACCAATACTGGAGCTGAGCCAACCCACAAACCCATAAGTGAGCCCTGTGAGCACCAGGCAAACCCAGGCTAGATAAGCAAGTAGGCCCATAAACACATGAACTTCAATAACAAATGAAGTTTAAGTTTTAAGCCTTGGAATATTAGAATGGTTTATTACCATTCTAATGTTTAAGACATTCTTAATATTATCCTGTTCACTAAAAGTCATCCTAAAATATATCTGCCTTCTTAAGCAACATAAATTGAACAGAATTCAGTATTCACTGGACCATTCCCAATCAATTTCTGTGGTATAAAATAATGATGCTCTTGGGGTTACACATAGATCATTCTGGTCTACTGTTCTTTTTGCAATCTCAGAACCATTCCCTATTTCATGGTCATTTTTATTTCTCTTGTAATCAACTTTTTGTTTTGTTTTGTTTTTTTTGTAGGTCCTTGGAACTTTTGATCCTCTTGCCTAAGCCTCTAAGTACTAGGATTACTGGTATGCACTACCGTACATGGCTGCTTGCTTGCTTGCTTGCTTGATTTCCTTCCTTCCTTCCTTCCTCTTCCTTCCTTTCTTCCTTTCTTTTTTTCTCTTTCTTTCTTCATTTTGTTGATCATGGGGTTTGAACGAAGAACCAGGACACTGTTCCAGAGCTCTTTTGCTCAAGGTTATCATTCTCCCACTTTAAGCCACAGCTTCACTTCTAGCTTTTTGATGATTAATTGGAGATAAGAGTCTCACAGACTTTCCTGCCCAAGCTGGCTATGAACCCTGATCTTCAGATCTCATCCTCATAAGTAGTTAGGATTACAGGTGTGAGCCACTAGTGCCCGACTGACACCTGGGCTTCTTCTAATCAATTTTATCAGCCTCTTGTTGCTGTCATTATGTCTATCTTAATCAGCTGCTCTCCCTTCCTCAATCTATAGTGTTGTACCTAACCAATATGACTTCAAGGGTTAAAACCTGATATCTAAACCTGTTAGAATGTTGCCTAAAGTAAGGGTTAAAAGGCCTACAGTGCCTGAGATAGCTCTCTGTAATCAAATGCATGTGCTTTACTGCTGGGATTCTGCCATCAAATTTAGCTTCTTAGATGCTTTCTTTTTCCTTCCTGGTTCTCTGGAACTCAGCATTCGAGGCCTGAAGAAAGGAAGGTGGCTCTGTGTAAGGCCTGGGAGCCCTTCCTCACCACATTCCCGGCCAGGATACTCTCTACCTATGTTCCAACAGAGACAAGGGTTCCCCCAGAACAGACTACATTCTATTGGTCTCTGTGTCCCCTGAACCAGGCACAGAGATGTCACTCACTAAGATACTGTGGATAGAAGGAAAAAGATTTCCCTGGGCATCTATTTCAGTATGTACACAACTAGTGTTCCTTAGAAGAATGAGAAGCCCCAACTTGGTTTGCTTCTTGCTTTTGTGTGTGTGTGTGTGTGCACGTGTGCACATGAACATGTGCACGTTGTTCCTGGGGTGTGAACTCAGGGCCTAGGTGCTGTCCCTGAGCTTTCTTGCTCAAGGCTAACACTCTACTACTTTAGCACATAGTTCTACTTCTGGCTTTTTGGTGTCTAATTGGAGATAGGAGTCTCACAGACATTTCTGTCCACTCTAGCTTTGAAACATTATTCTCAGATCTCAACCTCCTGAGATAGCTAGGATTACAGGCATGAGCCACCAATGCCCAGCTCTAAATTTCTAAACAGATATTTCAAATCAAGTTGCTGTAACATATTTTCAAAGGACCAATGACATTCTATGTTAAGGAATAGTTCCATTTGAAGGCATAAGTTAATTTCTGAATTATGTTCTCATTAAGTCATATGATTAAGTGAGGGGGACAAAGTCATGTGCCTTTACAGGAGAATGCAGATATTTTTTGCTAGACTTAGTGCTTAGCAATTTCCTCTGGTCTACCCCATTGTTTGATCAATAGCCAAAGACCACATTCCAACAAGAAGAGCCACAATTAAAAATTCATCAAGAGGGGCCCAGGAATTAGAGGTGTAGGCTCAGTGTAAAGAGCTTGACTAGCATACTTGAGGTCCTGGGTTCTATCCCCAGTAACCCCTCTAAAAAATCCAAAACCATGCTAACCAGTCTGTGGACATTTGCACTACTAATATATATGGTCACTCTCCCCTTGCACATGCCCTGTGCTCCTCTGGCCAACTCCATGGTCTACAGCAAGGATCGACCCTGAACTCTGGCTTGGGTTGGAAGGAGAGAGAGTTCAGGAACTTTTCCATTTTCTCTCTGCTTTTGGATCTCTCTACAACCAACATTCTTGTTTGTTGGCCTCTTCTGCAAGGCTCCAAATCTCCAGATGATCCATTTCTCTATTACTTTTCCAAGCACAAGGTGGTAAAGGCTTCCTGTGGCTGTTAATCTCTAGGTTACCTACTGCTTGCTGGTTAACTCCATTTATATCCCTGAAAATGACCCCTCCATTCACATCTATTCATCTGAACCGCTTGAGTTACCTCTTGTCACTGTAGTGTTCTGACTGGTACAATCTGCAGAAAACCTTCCCTAAAGAGATATCCCTGAAAGCCAGGTGCTGGTGGCTCTCATCTGTAATACTAGCTGCTCTGGAGGCTGAGATACAAAAACCAGTGGGAAAATCTGGGACAGCCCTATCTGCAACTTACTACCAAAAATAGCTGAAAGTGGAGGTGCTGCACAGTGGTAGCATGCTAGCCTTAGGCAAAAAAGCTTGGGGACATCATCTATGCTCTGAGTTCAAGCCCCGGGACAAGCACCAAAAATTTAAAAAAAAATCGTTGCAAAGCAGGAATGTTTACCCAGCAAGGAGTCCAAAGAAAACCAAAGGGTCTTCCTTTCTACCATTCAGAACTCCTTAGTCACTCAAACTCTATGCAAATTGGTACAAAATGAGGGCAAACCTCAGTACAGGTGAGAAAATATTTTGTTTGTTCATTTGTCCAGTATTTATTGTGCACCTACAAATCAGGTTGCATTCTGACCCTAAGAAACAGTGATGAAACAGAAGGTAGACACAATCCCTGCCCACAGGGTTCTTATCCTCTACAGCCTATCGTCTCCCAGAAGCCACAGAACCCACCAGAGGCAGAGCTGGAACCAGAAAACTGACTTCCTTTCATTCCTAAGACTTAAATCCTTAGAAAGTTCTCAAAGAAGTCTGTGACCCAAATGAGATGAAGAACCACTGAACTGAACTCAATTAACGATCAAATTTCTCCACTCCAGTTTCCTCATTTTATTTTTCCAGTTAAAAAAAATTGAGACAAGTAGCCCAGGCAGATCTAGAAAGCACAATCCTCCTGTTTCTGCCACTTGGGTGTAGAGATTACAGGTATCAGCCCTCCTGACTATAAAGCTTCTCCTTGAATAAGAGAATAATGACCCACACAGGATAGCTGATCCCTGGGCACATTGACAGCATCCACCTTTCCTGACTATCCCTGCCCCCAATATTATCTATGCCCCCATCAGTCCACACTTTTATAATTAGCTTCACAACCATTTCCAAGTCACTCTCTTATCCTGCAGACCTTGGCCGAAAACTTGCCATGAGCTGTTTTTATGAATGGATCACAGCCCGGGGATAGGCCTAGAGAAATGCCCTCCCTCTGAGTGTCTGGCATTTCTGGCCCTCCCTGGGTGTCAAAGATGATGATATGAGGTTTCTGCCTCAGCTGAAAGTCTCAGGAGACTCCACTGGAGATGGAATGACTAAAGCTGTCTTGGATGGGGAGGGCCAAGGGTGGCTGAGGTGAATGGATGGGACTGTGATGAGGGCAGCCAGGACTGGAGCCTCAGGAGACATTTGAGTTTCCTTAGAAAGGTCTGAAAAGGCTATACCAGAAACCCAATACTTCCCCTGCTCCAGGACAAACAGGACAGGGTAACAGTTTGTTTCCCTAAGAAAGGCTGCCATACTGGCAGATCAAACCCCTTCCCCAAATCTCCCAGACATGTAGCCAGTACACACAGGGGCTCCAGGCCTGCTGTCCCTCTGGAGCCCCTTCACTTCTCCTAGGACCTCTAGATGGCTTGGCAAACTTCCTTCCCACCAAGGAAGAAAGCACAATGGGAAGCCAGGCAGGGATGGAGAAACAGAAAACCTAGTCCTGAGGTTGCGGGAGTCTGCTAGACCCTCCCCTCCCCGCCCCGCCCCCCCACTCCCCACCAGTGGAATTGCTCTGGTAGCAGGAGAGAGGCATGTTTGCTCCATGATATCCCGAGGCAAAGCCTGTTTGGAGAAGGATATCAGAAATGTATTTATATAAATATCTGGGGCTCACTTCTCTCTCATTTGCAATCTCTTGTTGATTCTGAGCTCCTCACAAATTCCTAAGGCAAAATGAAATCATGCAGCAAACGAGAAAGGGGAAAAAAAGGAGACATAGAAACAATGTTTTAAAGAGTCTCAAACACTGAATAGTCAGGTCATGTTTGTTGGAACAAGGACAGAAGGGCTTTCTCAGACAAGCTCGAGTGACAGGAAGTGGCTGGGGTAGCCGTCTGCCTCCCAGCCTCCCTCCACCAAGAACAGAATGGCAAAAATATCAAGACACATTGCAAAATAATCTTGTTTCCTCCCCTGCCAGATGAAAGAGAGGAAAGTTGTGGTCATCATTTACCTGCTGAGATGGGGAGGACGGTGTTGATGAAAGTAGGCTGAGACACGATCAAGCGGAAGAAAAGCTGGAGGTAAATTCCCAAAGTCATTGGATTCAGGACAACCATGCTGGCCACGTCTGGCAAGTGTCAAGTTCTAGAGAGGCAAGGCTGCTGTGGGGCCTTGTGTATCTCTGCTTTGTCTTCACTGCTGTTTGCCTCCCTCCCTCTCTCTCCCTCCCTTCTCTCTCCCTCCTTTCCCTCCTCTCCCTCCCTCCCTCCCTCCCTCTCCTTTCTCCAGGCCTTTACCAAGAAAGAATGCCAACCATTTCCCATTAAACCATCTCCACACTACACAGGGTTATATTTATCCCAAGCACTGGATCAAATGCCCACATTAAAATTGAGATGTCAGAATTTTCTTTTTGGAGACTGAGATAAGTGGCTATTGAAGAGGTGATGGAAGGGCAGCCAAGTCACAAATGTTCACTGGAAGACATCCTCAAGGGCAGCTGGTTTCCTCATTGATTATCCACTATTATCTACCTGCTTGGAACTAAGGTGTTCTGTACAGAATCAAATCTCCTGACTCCAGTGGAATTCCAGGGGAATAAACTGCTCTGCCATCAGCCTAAGACAGACATCCTCTGGGTGACAAATGTAAAGTTGGCCTACCTTGAACTTCTTTTCATAATTTTCTTTATCCAATAAGTTTAAATTTCCAAACCGCTTTCCCTGTGAAAAAGTCTCCTATCTCTTCAGAAGCAGCAAACTTTTAATTCCATGCAAAACAAAATAAATGAAATCAGCAGATAGGAACATAAATGATTTTCAGACTGTATTTGGAAAAATAGATGATCAGATTTATCTTTGGCTAGGTAAAATTGCTCAGATACAAATTACTACAGCCTTAAACGAATGCCTTTTCTAAGTTTATAAAGCCTGTTACAGAGATATTAGTAAAACAAAGAATTCGTCTTGCTTTAATTTACATAATATATTCCCAATAAGAGTTCATTGAGAACAGTGGTAGGTGGTAGGTGTTGAGAAAAGTGACCCTCATTCTAGGGAAGGTGGGGTAGGGTGAGGGAAGAATGTAAGATCATACCAGTCTGACTGGCAGTGAACAAAGTTGACTCCTCTCAGCTTTGATTTTCTCATGAAAAAAGAAAGGAGACAATGTTCCCTTTATAGATTTGTCAGAGCGCTTAAAAGTGTGAACATGTGGGGCTGGGAAGGTGGCTCAGTGGTAGGGCGCTTGCCTTGCATGCCTGAGGCCCTGGGTTCAATTCCTCAGCACCACATAAGCAATAAGAAAAAAAAAGCTGGAAGTGGCACTGTGGCTCAAGTGGAAGAGAGCTAGCCTTGAGCTGAAGAGCTGAGGGACAGTCCCCAGGCCCAGAGTTCAGGCCCCACGACCAGACACCCCCCCCCCAAAAAAAAGTGTGAACATGTGTGCATAATAATTGAACATAAATTCAAACTTGTGTCTAGAGACAGCACAAAATGTGAGACCCAGTATGGTAGACGAGGTATAAAGATGGCTGCCAAAAATCCCTGTGTGTGTCATTCTATTTTCCCCTCTCTAGAATCTGTGGCTTTCTTTCACCGGTATTACATAGCCAGAGGGATGCTGTGCCATATCCAGGCTGCAGTCTTAAAGACCTAAGGCCTCTGCTTTGTTTTCCCTTGAAAATTGCTGCCAAATTAAAAAAAAAGAAAAGTCTAGCCTTGTGCTGGTGGCCACTCCTGTAATCTTAGCTATTCAGGAGGCTGAGATCTAAGGATTGTGGTTCTAAGCTAGCCCAAGCAGGACAGTTCATAAGATTCTCCAATTAACCACCAAAAACACTGGAAATGGAGCTGTGGCTCAGATGATAGCCTGAGAAAGGGTACTTGCCTTGAGAAAATAAATAAATAAAAAGGCATAGGTACAGTGGCCAGGGCCTGAGTTCAAACCGAGGACTAGCACACACACACACACAAGTCTAGACTACTGAGGAGGCTCTACAGAGGAAGACACAACCACAACCAGTGGCTGGCTGTCCAGCCCACCCAAATGAAGTACTAGTTGTGGGAGTAAGGGTGTTTAGAATCATCTAGCCTTGTTCACATCACCAGATGGTGGCAGCCACAGGGGTGACCCCAGAAGAAACTAGCTGAAGAACTGCTCAGAAAACACCTTAGATTATTAAATTAAATGGCTACTATTTGAATTCAGAAAGTCTTAGGCTGCTTTGTTATGCAGCAATGGCTAATTGATAACGTTGATGAAAAAAGTATGAAGAATATACTTGGGCTACAGTTAAAAAAGTGCAAGATAGTTTAATGGAAGGAGCGGTGGTTGCTGCCTACACCCAAAGCAAGACGTTCTCAGGCTTGTTCCTGTTCATTTTTTGATCTAACAGTGCCAGCGGTGGGCTTTTGGAGACTTAGAGAAGACGAAGTCTCCTTAAAAGATATACTTTTTTTTGTTTCTTGAGACAGTTTCAGACTGGCCTTAAACTCATGATTTTCCTACCTCAGCCTCTCAAGTCCTGGAAGGATAAGCCTGCACCTGACAATGCCCAGCTAGAAAGTGACTTTTGAGTATTTTGCTATCGCTCTTTATCCAGAGTGGTTTCTTCCTTGACTCAGCAGAGTTCACTACTGAAATGCACTTGGCAGAGATTAGGTTCATGTGTTCCACTGATGACCCCTGATGCTGTTGCTTTTGAATTGTTTCTAACCCTGTCTTGCCTGTACTATACCATTTCTGAAGATGGTAGACTGTCCTACACTCTGTTTTCCCTCCAAGCCTCTAGAACAGTCCTTAACATCTAACAGGTCCCTCGCAATGTCTGTAATTTGACAAAATCACACCATGGAAAAGGATAAAAATCAGGTAGAAGTGTGTAACTTTGTGCTGTAGCCACACTGTATTTTCATTTTCCCCTGTGAACCTGCTGTGTACCTGAGCTATCATGAAGAAAGGCCATGATGAATATAATGCAAAGCAGGAGGGAATGCGGACCCCACTAGGGAAGCATCTCACTGTGGATGCCAGGTTACTAGAGGGGGCTTTCCCCTTTTAGGCCTCAGTGCAGAGATGCCTACAACCCTCCAATACGTAAGCAAATCTTGGTAAATTTCCATTTGCCCATGTATTTTATGAACTTTTTTATAAGAGGCTACCCTATCTGACCAGGGCAGAAATTATCATCTTTCTTCAAACCCTCCTGGAAGGGCTCTGAATCTTTCAGAATCTAATAATAAAGGCTATTAGATTTGTCCAGAAGGAAATTATCTGATATTTGAGAAAGGCTCACACTAATAAAGCCAATAAAAGCCAGAACCTTCTCTCCTATAAAGGTAGGAGTATATATTGAAGAACAATTCCTTCATCCTATTAAACTTAAAAGGTACATATTATTTGACCCAGAAATTCCACAGAAAACTCCTTCAGCTATGTCATGGTTTAGATACAAGGATAAGTGTGACTTCTCACACTTGAAATAGCATAACTGTCCATGATACGACATTGGTGGAATAAATCATGGGCCATTCACTCAATGGATTATATAACCATTACTACCCTATTGTTTAACAGCTTTCAGTGAGCTTTCTTATGCCATCTTCATATACAGAAACAATGTATTTTAATATTATTCACCTCACATCATTCTTTTTCCCTCTCCCTTGTCCCCTCAGTTCTGTAGTTATAATTGTTTTATAAATATATGTGTGTGAGTGAGTGTGTATGTGTATATGTATCTTTAAAGTCTAGATTCTTCAAATGAGTGAAAACATGCAGAATTTGGCTTGGAATTTGGCTTATCTTCCTCAATACCATGATTTCCAGTTCCATCTAATTTTCTGTAAATGATAGTGATTTCATTTTTATTCATGGCTGAGCAACATTCTATACTGCAGTAATTACATTTATATCATCTTTAAGTAGTTGTACAAACGGGCTACCATTCAACAAATCAGTTTGTAAGTATAATGCATCTTTTATCACTCAAGTAGTATATTTCTTTATCCATTCATCTGTTGCTTAGCACACCCACAGATTCCACAGTTGGGCTATTGTGAATAGTACTGCAATAAACATGTGTATGTGTACTGATTTACACTCCTTCAGATATATGACCAACAGTAGTATGGTGGGATCATAAGGTGGTCTATTTTTAGTTCACTGCGGCGCCTCAATACTGGTTTCCATAGAGGTTGTGCTAGTAGTATATATTCCCATCAACTGTGTGTAAGGATTCCTTTCCCAACCCCACATCCTTGAAAGCATTTGTTGTTATTATTATTTTTTTGCCAATCCTTGGGCTTGAACTCAGGGCTTGGGCACTGTTCCTGAGCTTCTTTTGCTCAAGGCTAGCATTCTACCACTTGAGCCACAGCGCCACCTCCAGATTTTTCTGTTTATGTGGTACTGAGGAATCAAACCCAGGGCTTCATGTACGCTAGGCAAGCACTCTACCACCAAGCCACATTTCTAGCCCCATGTTATTATCTTGATGATTGGCATTTTGAGGGATTCATTTGGCACTTGATTTTCTTTCTTTCCTTTCTTTCTTTCTTTTTTTCTTTCTTCCCTTCCTTTCTTGTTATCTGCCTTTCTGCCTTCCTTTTTCTTTTTCTTTTAATGATAAAGTCTTATTAAACTTAGAACCTCAGGTTTGCCAGGCAGCACTCTGCTGCTTATGCCATTCTGTCGGCCCTATGATGAAGTCTTATTGGACTTGAACTTTTTTTGTCAGTCATGGGGCTTAAACACAGAGCCTGGGTACTGTTCTTGAGCTTTTTTCTTTAGGCCAGTGCTCTACCACTTTGAGCCACAGCTATATTTCCAGTATTCTTGTGGTTAATTGGAGATAAGAGTTTCATGGCCTTTCTTACCCAGGCTGGCTTCAAGCCTCAGACCTCAGACTCCTAAGTAGCTAGGATTACAGGCATGAGCCACCAGTGCCCAGCTGGGCTTGAACTTTTGATCTTCTTCCCAAGTACTGAGATTGCAAGTGTGTATCACCATACCCACATCTGACACTCTTTAAAAGTTAAATATTTAGCTACTTCACAGTGCAACATTCCTATTTTCAGCACTGATCCTAGAGAAATTAAACACATCCACACAAAAACTGGTATATGGACATGTTCACAACCATTACTTTTGTGATAGCTAGAACAAGAAACAATCAAAATAGCAATCAACTGATTAT